TTTTTTTTTTTTTAAGACTTTTATTTATTTGTCAGAGAGAGAGAGCACAAGCAGGGGGAGCTGCAGGCAGAGAGAGAAGCAGACTTCCTGCTGAGCAATGAGCCCGATGTGAGACTTGATTCCAGGACCCTGGGATCATGACCTGGGCCAAAGGCAGACGCTTAACTGACTGAGCCACCCAGTCTTCCCATTTGTTTCCTCTTCTGCCTTCTTGCGTCCAGACAGTGCAGACCTGATTTCTGGCAAGCTCCTGATTTCTATATGGTGAGCAGAATTGACACACTTTGACAATGTGCCTGCCAGTCACTATTTTATCTACTCAGCTTCTCCACCATGACTTGTGAGTTATCTTCAGTCAATTCAGATTGGAGAGAGTAGGAAACACATGCTAGCTTAAAAAGTCAAGCCTCAATCCCCAATTCATTTTTACCAGGGAGCTCTTTACCTGAGAGAGTCCTCTGGCCTACATTAACAGAGCTGATAAGTTGATGCAAAACAGATGTTTACTGTCTGAAGCAGGACTCTGAAGGGGAGGAAGGAATTTTTGACTTCCCAAACATAACCCCTAACATATTAGAGACCTCTTTTCATTCTCAGTTTTATGTGTTTGTGGTTTGTCCTTTTTCCTTAAATCACCTTTCCAGCAATTTGCATGTCATTGTTGTTTCACAGTCTAAGATAGGAGATTCAGTCTGGGTCAAAAGCAACTGTAAAGACCTCAAGTGCATAGCTTTATAGCTCTTCCCTCTAATATTACTCTAGTCACATATTACAGCTTCTTAACATGAATCTGCTTCCCCCAGACACCTTCTCCCCCTCTAACAAATTATGTCTGCCCCCTGGACCAGGTTTCATAGCTTCTGCTTATTCACATCCACCATTTGATCATGATCCTTAATGGTTCTTCCTCCAGCTCATAATTTTTCAGCAACTCCTCTGATGCTAACCACCAGCTGTCTCAGGATATTCAGTTGGGATTCAGAAGGCAGGGAATCTTACTAGCCCGCTCATGCCTTCACACCAAGCCACATCACTGATCCTGAAAAGCCTAGGGAAACAGCCCAGGACCAGTCAAGTGTCTGTTCCTAAGCCTACCATCTCCTTTTGCCCTCCTCAATAACAGCTCAAAATTAACACATTGAGACAGAATTCTTGATTCATACTCTTTTTCAGTCCTTAATGTCCATAATGTGACATTCCCTATCTCTATAATGTGCCATCTGGCAAGTTGTTCAGACCTATGTGTTCTCCTTGGTTTCTCCCTTTCCCCCATCATCTCATTCACAAACTCTCATTCATCACGTCTTATCGTTCTTTCTCTAAGGTAGGTCCCAAATCCATCCATTCTCTCAATTTCCATTAGCATCTCCTTAATCCAGGACACCATTATTTCCTATCTGGATTATTACAACAGCCTTCTAACAGCTCCCTAACTAGCTATTACATTTCCAATTCTTTCCATCATTCTATCCACATTCCTCAGAGCAGCAGTAATGATCTTTTTAAAATATACATTCAATTATACAGCACCCTCACTTAAAATCCTTCAGTAGCTCCCTATTTCCCTTAGAATAAAATCCAGTCTTTTCTCATGACTGACAGAGCTTCCCATGATCTGGTCCTGACTAATGTCTCCACCTGATCTCACAGTATGCTGCCCCCACTCACAGTGTGCCAGGCATACCAGCCTTCTCCCAGTGACTCAGGACCCCTGAAGGTCTTTCCTGCCTTAGGGCCTCTGCACAGGCCTCTGCTTGCTTGCTCCTCCCTCTGTTCCTTCACTTGTTTTAGACAGGTGATCTTCTCTGAAGAGTCTGTCCTTGGCCACCCTGTCCAAAGGAAGTTTCCCCTGACTTGAATGTAATTCTTTATGTCACTGCCTTGTGCTTTCATGTTTTGCCTGTCCCCCTAAATTATAGGGAAAGAAACTATAAAAAAACAACAGAGAGAGAGCAAAAGCCATAAGAGAAGTCAAGAAAACAAAACTTCAAAAAATAAGAGAAGGGGGAGGAAGCAAGAAATTGAAAGGAAATTGACATAAAATTACCAACCTCCTTGGAGAAAAAATGTTCATAAAATTATTAGTAAACACAAATGTTGTGCACCCCTCAAGTGAGCATTCTGAACACTTCTTTCTAAGTCTGATGAAATGATCTCTAGGTTTCTTGCCTTCAAGATTTATGTAAGTCAATCTTCCTTGAATTCTGGCAACTACCATATTCTCTAGTTTGATAACTTATCAAAAGGAAAGTTCAAAATGAGTTAGAAGCATTTGAAGAAGTCATTAGGAGCCACTAGAAGAGGCTAACGCTTCTTTTCTCATTGTGAGTTTGCATAGCAAGCATCCAAGACAAGTTTCAAAATAAAACAACCCTCCCTTAGGGCCATGGGTACATGAGGCATCATTTCCCCACAATAGCCTGACCCTTTCGCCTGCCTTTGTCCTCTGCAATGCCTCTTTGTAAATCACAGGTGTTTGTGGGCATAAAGCCCATCAGAAGGGAGTTTCTTGTGAAGAGTTCTTTCTTTGCCACTTGTTCTAAACCTGTTCAGAGAGTGCTCCATGCCTTAAACCAAATCTCCATAAAAATCAAGAAACAAGAAGTTTTCTGTATTCCTGCCCAGCAGCCGCACTATGACATTAGCTTCGACAGCTTTGTGACCCGGTATTATTCCAACTTTATTCACTAGTCTCTTTTTCTCTTTCTCTCTCTATTCCTTTTTTTAAAGCCTATTGGCATTTTTTTTTATCTACTGTAAAATAAAAAGGAGGAGGATGGTGTTGTTTTTTTTTTTAAAAAAAGCACCCTATGTGGCAGCTAGAAAAAGCTATCTACAGTTACTGTAGTAATGGTTTCAAAAAACACCTGCAAATCAAAGAAAGACACCATAGCAGTGTCTTCAGTGTTGTTTTTTGTGGGGTTTTTTTCTTCCCTTAAAGTTCCTTCTTGGCCATTCTAGGGTAGGCTCGGGAATGAATTTATGTGACAGCTATGAACTTAGTATTAAAATTGTGAATAGTGCCTAGCAGTTTTCATGCCCTTACTATAAGATCGCCTCAATTTGCCACACAGCGGTGAATAGGGTAAAGGGGGGGAGGTGTCAAATGAATGGGAGGAAGAGGGTATGTGAATGGGAGGGTTTCCCTAGAGGGAGCAGCACAGCAGTCACGGGGAAGAGTGATTTATTTTTGAAATTCCAGGAAGAAAGGCCAAGAGAAGCTGCCTAAGAGATCCTGAAGCATGGGGTGGGGGGTGTAAGATAAATAATACGTCTGTCCACATTTAGCAAGTGTCAGCGCCAACTCTAGAAGCAGGGACCGGGCAAGGGCGAGGGGGGAGGTGAGATGGTAAATCCATTCCTCTGGTCTTCCAAGATTGAATATTAAATGCCAGCAGGGAGCAGATGCGGGTAGGGGCTTCAGACTGGGGGTAAGGGCACGGAAGGAGGGGGTTAAGCGTTTATCTCAATGGAAATTAACCACTTGGGGAGCATTAGGAGAGAGCCGGAGCAGGCTGGGCGGGGGAGAAGTGTCTCTCAGTGAGTTTAAAGAGAGGAACTTTTCTGGTGCAGGGATTTGGGGAGGGCGTTCAGAAAGCCGAGGTGCACCGGGCCGCAGAGAGCAAGGTGGGACGTGCCCTCGTCCGCCCCCGTGGCCCCGCCCCCACCCCGTATTAGCATGCGGGCAGCAGAGGGCCAGCCGGGCGGGGGAGGGCGGCAGTGGGATCGCCGCGCGGGGCGCATTGTGGGCCGCGCTCGCCTCCGCGGGGGACCATCTGCTCGCTGTCAATGCATCACCTGCTCGTCTGGGCCGTCGCCGGGGCAACGCGGGGCGGGGGATTAAGGATCGTGTGCGTCTGGGTTCGGGCGGCGGCGGCGGGGGCGGGGCGCTCCTCGGCCGCCCCGGGCCTGGGACGGTAGGCCAGGCGGAGGGGGCCCGCGACCACAGTGGCTGGCTCAGCCGTTCGCCGCTCCCCTCCGGCTTTGCAAAGACAGCCGAGCCGCCTTCACTCGCGGAGGTGGCTGGTGTCCGGAGGGGGAGCAGACAGCAAAAGATCCAGCCGTTTGAACCCACCCAGAAAGCGAGAACTGTGATCCTCGGATCTACCTGGAGCTTCTTGGGCCATGTCCCAGGACCGGCGTCTGCAGCCTCCTGCGGGGAAACTGATCCGCCCAACCCGGTCCCTGGAACCGTTCTGAGCAACGCCCCCGCAACGCCGTTCTGAGCGCCCCGCAGTCGTTGGGCAACCACAATGGGGTGCGCATGGCGGGTAGACCCTCGCTGGTTCCTGTCACCTACGTTACAGATAACTTCCCCACCTCTCATCTGATATTTTGTTCTGCCGCTCAACGCTCAGGCTGGGGGAGCCTTTGACATCAGACTATGAGTGACACTTGTTCTTTGGGGGAGGATTGTCCCAAGATTTATCAAAACGGGTTTATTTTCCATGGAGAAAGTGGTTCTGAGGTCCTGAAATCCCCTTTCCACCTATTCCTGTTCCTCTCCCTCGAAATAATTTTGAACCCAGGAGTACAACGAGCGATGTAGCCAACAGCAGGGGGCAGAGCGAGGCTGTGGATGGAAACAAGTGTCCCCTTTGGGATTACATTTGCTCCAGAGTCACCAACAAAGGTCCTTCCTATCTGCCGAAGGATTCCGTGCCCCTCAAACTCCCTTACCTAAGTTTTCCATGGACTCCACAGAAGCAAGGCGTTATTAAGCTTTAATCACAGCTGGTAATATATCATGTTTTCTTTCTGGGCCGGCTAAGTACTGTTATTCCCCTGCAGAATAACCTGAAGCAGCGAAAAAGTTGAGATTCACCAAATCCCAGGCTGGACCTCCCAGACCCATATCTAAAACATTTCCAGTCCGGTAAAATCCCAGCTTGTTTCTAAAGATTTGAGTCAAGAAAATCCCAAACCTATCTTGTTAGATCTCATTCCAGGGGCTGGCAACTCTTGAGAATCAGCAGTCTTTCTCTGACTAACTTAGTCACTCCAACCCTTTTCCTACAGTTCTGTTTTCTGAAGAAACAGGGAAATTGGCCTCTTTTCCAGTAAACCCTTTGTGTTGAAGAAATCATTAAACTGTCCATTAACCTTCTCAAACTTTCATCTGTCTTTGATTCCAGCCATTTTTCTCTTCTTTAACCAAACCCTTATTTAAAGTTACACTAAATACAAGTTGATAATATCTATCTTATGTATTTCTCCAACTAAAATCTCAAAATCATCAAATACAATTTCTCTCATCCTTTTATGATTTCTGGATATGAATATAAAAATTAGACTAATTTCATGATTAAAATTACAGTTTTAAAATTTACTGTTGCCACCATTTATTTGCTCTTCCTATCATTTATATGCAAGCAAAGAACGTCAGCTCTACAAATACCCATGTGTTTTGACATAACAGATGAAGGAAAAAAAAATAAGTATGTAATGTATTAACTTGCTCGAAAGATAAAGAAAATTCTACCCATCCAAAACTGCTGTTAATTGTGACTTTCATGGATTAAAGTTGAGAGTTCTGAGAAGGCAGGCTCTTTGATTCACAAGGTATAGCTGTCCCTGGAACAACATGGGGGTTAGGGGCACTGACCTCCCACATAGTCAAAAATCCACATAGAGTATTTGACTCCCCCCAGATTAACTACTGATAACCTACTGTTGTAGCTTATTATACTATATACTATATAAGACTTACCTATAACATAAACAGCACATAGTTTCTGTTATATGTATATATACTATATTCTTACAATAAGCTAGATAATAAAGGAGTTATTAGGAAAATCATAAGGAAAAGAAAATACATTTATAATACTGTAAAAATCGTCATACAAGTGGACCCATGCAGTTCAAACCCGTGTTATTCAAGGGCCAGCTGTACTTCCAAATACATAGAATCATGGCATCATTTCTATTTAAAGAAGGATGAATTTGAGTCCAACCATCAGCTCTAGCAACAAAGTAACTGAAACGGAAATACAAGTAACCTGCCCAAGACTGTTACAGAAAAGCTGAGTATGCCCAGGGCACTCTCAACCCCACGAACCTCCCGAGGGAGCACTTTCCACACCAAAAACACCTCAAAATGCCTTTTATCTACTCTATTCCTACTCCAACAGCTGCTGACTTCACAGCAGAGATGAGAACTCTTCATCAATTCAACGAATAATCATTGAACACCTGCCACATGTCAGGCAAGCTAGACAAAGATCCCACCCTTATGGCACTCACTGCTTAGTAAGGGTAAATAGATTTAAAAAAACAAAAAACCTCTTTTCTTTACTCATTTACCCAATAAACATTTCTTGAGCAACTAATCAGTACTATGATAAGAGGGAAAAAATATATCCATAAATAACATAGGGATATCTCTCTCAAAAAAAGAAAAACATACAAAAAAATTAGAGCATAATGTAGTTAATTAGAAAATACCAGTAGGACAAAGTATCATGGAAGTAAAGAGGACGCATCAGGTAAATTTGCCTGGATAGCACCACAGAGATGTCATAAAGTGGGCGATGAAGAATCAGTAGGAGTCCCCAGCACCTAAAATAGGGCATGGACATAGCAGATGCCCAATAATTAGTTGTTCAATGAACAAATGATGTAGTTTTCAAGTAGACAAAGGGAAGACAATCCAGGCAAAAATGTCACAGTATGAACAAAGACTCCAGGAAATACTATTAAAGGGATGAGGAGTGAGCAGTTCACTGCAAGTCAAACAATATAAGAAGAAAGAGGAAGATGGAATGCCAGTGTGGAGGCATGTGGAGGAGGGATTTGCATATCATGCCAAGAAGGTAGACTTTGTCGGGGTCCCTGGATGGCTCATTTAAGCATCTGCCTTCAGCTCAAGTCATGATCCCAAGGTCCTGGGATCGAGCCCCACATTGGACTCCCTGCTCCACGGGAAGCCTGCTTCTCCCTCTCCCACTCCCCCTGCTTGTGTTCCTGCTCTTGCTATCTCTCTTTCTGTCAAATAAATAAAAATAAAATCTTAAAAAAAAAAGAAAAAGAAGGTAGACTTTGTCTTAAGGACCAATAAATTTTCAACAGCAGAACGCTTGCTTCAAATAGAATTGCAAGGAACACAAATATAATAAAATTAATCAAAACAGAACGGCCCTACTTGAAACAGGGGTAGGACCTGACACCCCGCCCTCTGGTCACAATCTCACTGTCTCGGCACTGCTGGGGAACCTAGCATGCCCCTTGGAACACTCTTTGAAAACCAGTGCCATGGTCCATGGGTCATCACTGAACATTATTGGACATGACAATGCAAGTTTGGATGGAAAGAAGCCAAGAAGAATAGTTAGGATGCTATTGAAACATGTACTGCATGGAGCACTGGGTGTTATATGAAAACAATGAAGCGTGGATCACTACATCAAAAACTAATGATGTATTGTATGGTGACTAACATAACATAATAAAATTAAATTAAAAAAAAAAGGATGCTATTGAAATTGTCCAAGCACAAACTAATGAGGATTTAAGTTAGACCAGTGACGATCATACTGAAATGGAAGATAAAGAGATTTTGAAGATGGAATCCTTAATATGTATGGTCTTTCTACTTCAGGGAAAATAATTTCACCTCTGGTACATCTGGATTTGGATATTTTTAAATGATAATATGTAACAAAGTACATCACAGCTGTTACTACGGCCAACGCCTTCCCACACTTGCAAAAGTTTGTGGAAAAAAACACAAATTCCTTTGCAGTGACTAGTTAAAATATGGCTTGGATCTCAGAATATAGATTTTTGGATTTCTAAGAGGAGCAAATGGAAAATTTAGGAAAACAGCAAAAAGGAGGGCACAGATGAGAGTGGTCCAGTACTCCCTTAATTAATAACCAGGGGAACCAATTTGTGTGCAATAATCAAAGTTATGGTGAACAGTGACCCTTCCCCACACCCCCTGAAATGTAAGCATTCAAGTGTTGTTCTTAAAAAGCATATAAAGTTCACATATAATATTGCTCACTTATATTTAGATATATTTGATGATGAAAGGCCCCTCATGGGTAGAAAATCTGTGACTTAAGGAAACCACAAATTATGGACTGGGTAAAACAAAGATATATGCTCTTGCAAATAAGCTAATGGAAGAGAGACAGCAAAGGGGAGCTGGGAAGCCAAGGAAATTCACATGATGAAGATAGCTGGCATTTAGCCAAAAGTGAAAACTATAAATATTAATCAGATGAGAATCAGTATCACTTTACTGCAAGAATGTTCTGTAATTAAGAGGGTGGGTATTGTGCTGTGCATGTTAGCACAATTGTTGCCAATAATACCGAATGCCGGCAGCTCCTGAGCACTGGAGAAAACACAGATTCCTAAAGATGTCACCTACCAGAAAGTTTACCACGTACGCATGAGCTGTTTATGTCAAATTCAAATGATACGTCAAAATAAAGGAGGAAGAAATACCAGGGCTTCAAAATTGTGCTTCTGTCTTTAAAAGAAAACAAAAGACAAGGAAAAAAATATTTGTTGGACGCCTATTATATGCCAGGAATTTACTAGACCCTTTCCATACATCATGTCATTTAATCCTTACCTCAAACCTGCAGGAAAGATGTTCTCATAACCACATTTCAAAGACTCATTAGTTCCAAAGTTGGCTCTGCTGTCCAGGGTGCGACTCTGGGTGTGTCTCAAGTAGAGCAGAGGTGAAATGTCCCTAACATTGGTGACGTGACAAGATCATGAGATTAAGGTGCTTAATGGATTATCCACGTAAGCAGTGAGTCTTCCAGGGAGCTGATGACCCTTGGAGTGAAGGGGAAGTCTTGGAGGGAGGTGCCAAAGCTCTCATTTGGGAAAGTCAGCAGTAAGTCTACTCAATGGTCAGGCAAAGGGTGTTTAGAAACATTCCGAGTGTCAAAGGAGAGGAGGTTACTGGAGACCAAAGGAGTAATGGTTGAAAGAGGCAGAGGGGGACGAAAGTATGCTGTTCCCTACCTTCCTCTGTGCCCAGACACAGATGAGCAAGGATGAAGACATCCACTGTGGCAGGGTGCAAAAGCAGGCATCTCTTCAAAGGAAAATAGGGGTTTAGTTAGGTCAGAAGTGGAGGGCTCTTTGAATGAAGAGGCCAAGGATGTAGAGGTCACTTTCTTGTCTCTCCCTTGCCTATAGTCTAAAATCCAAATACTGAGAGGTCATTGAA